AGGATTGAATGCTTGGCAACAAGAGCCTTCACCCACTGAGCCATCTCACCAGGCCCTAGGCTGTCCTCAAAACTGATGGTAATCCATCTGCCTCAGCCTCCAGAGTGCTGAGATTATAGGCATGAGCCACCATGCCCTGTTCTCAGAACATTGCTTTAAAGAGATTTACAAGAGAACCTTGAATCTAGCAGTTTACACAAGAGACTGTGTTTGAAGCACTCTACCAACTGAGCTACATCCCCAGCCCAACACTGTGTTTTACCATGGAAGTGACTGAGATATAGTCTTTTTTTTTTGTCTTTTTGAGACAGTATCTCCCTGTAGTCCCATCTGGCCTGGAACTTGCTATGTAGACCAGGCTGGCCTGAAACTCACAAAGACCTGCCTGCCTCTGCCTCCCCAGTGCTGGGATCAAAAACATGCATCACCGTGTCCAGCCTAAGATACAAAGTCTTATAGAATAGAAAATCAGCTACCTCTTTATAAGACTTGTCATATACATGAACTGATGAATATGGCACACTGGCACATGTCTGTAGTCGCAGGGACAGGGAAGCTCAGGTGGAAGGATTGCTTGACTTCAGAAATTCAAGACCAGCCTGGGCAGCAATGTGAGACCCTGCAACCATAAAAATATTCACAAGTTAGAAAATAGCTTAAAATATTACATGAAATGTATAATTATTTACTATTAGAATTAGGATGAGATCCTTATATTATTATATTTATACAATTAGCTAATTATTTCTTCAGGAGAAGATGCTGGAAGCAAATTTTATTTTTGGTCTTTTTGAGACAGGATCTCCCTGTAACCCCAGCTGACCTGGCACTCACTCAGGTAGACTGGGCTGGCCTTGATCTTACAGAGATCCACCTGTCCCTGCCTCCCAAGTGCTGGGACTAAAGGCGTGCACCAACCTGCCCAGTTTACGATTTTTTTTTCAGTCAGGGCTAGACTTAAACTCTTTTTCTTGGTAGGGTGAATCTCATGTATCCAAGGCTAGCCTGGAACTTGCTGTGAAGCCATGGATGACCTTGAACTTCTGATCCTCTTTCTTCCATCTCTCTAGTGCTGAGGTCATAAATATGGGACACCACACCCAGTTTCCACTGAGGCTGGGGATGGAACCCAGGGCTTCTAGCATGTTAGGCAAGCATGCTACCAACTGCGCTACATCCTCAGTCATGCTCTTAAACTCTTGCTCCTTCTGTTTCCACCTCTCAAGTGCTAAAATTACAGGGGTGCCATCCATATCTAGAAAAATACACTTTCCATCTCTTGAATTTTTGGTATTTTTGAGACAAAGTCTGGTTATGTAGCCCTGGTTGGCCTGGTACTCAATATGTAGTCCTGGCTGGTCTTAACTTTGCGAGAATCCTCTTGCCTCAGCCTCCTGAGTGTTGGCGTCATAGGCACGCACCTCTATGCCTGGTTAGTACGTTTTTTACTTTTTTTTTTTTTTTGGTCTTTTTGAGACAGGGTCTCCTTGTAGTGGGGCTGGCCTGGAACTCTCTATGTAGACCAGGCTGGCCTTGAACTCATAGAGATCTGCCTGCCTCTGTCTCCTGACTGCTGGGATTAAAGTCATGCACCACCATGCCTGGTACCTTTACTTTTAAAATTTTTTAGCCAAGTGTGGTAGCTTAAGCCTGGAATCCCAGTACTTGGGAGGGGGATGCAGGAGGATGAGTAGGCTTTCAAAGCCAGCCTGGGCTACATTAGACCATGTCTCAAAAATTGTTCTTTAGCCAGGAGTGGTGGCACATGCCTGTAGTTCTAGCACTCAGGAGGCAGAGGCAGGCGGATCTCTGTGAGTTCAAGGCCAGCCTGGTCTACATAGTGAGCTCCAGGCCAAAACTGGGTATGGTGGGGTACTCCTGTATGACATTTTCTTAAGTCAGTGTTATTGTTTTGTTTTGAAGCATATGGCTAATTTGTTTCCCAGAAAGACTGTAGAGATTCACACTCCCATCCAAACTGTGACCTCATAATCTTTTAAATCTGTTCTTGCTTCTTTATGTAGTTCTTCTACACTATATTTTAGCTTTAAATTTATTATTATTTAATT